ACTTAGCCTCGCCTAGTGTTGCACGACTGGTAACTGGGGAGTCGGTCGCTACGGACATCTGAGTGAGGGGTGGGACACAGCTGGCAATCGTTCATTGGTTCTGCCTGCCACTGTCCACTAGTCCTGTGAAAATGCAAAAAGCGATTCGTCACATCCTGTGGTTGTTCACATAGATGCATAATGTCTGCCTATTGTTCAACCGCTTCGAGTTCGTGTCGCGTGCCTCCCTGTGCTTGCTTTCGCAGAGCTTGCACACACTGCAACGAACAAGCGCACACCGTGCATCAGCACATATTGGTGTGTACACTTTCATATCTAACTCATCAAAGCTGCAGAGAATACTCAACACGAAAATTTGAAACGAAAAAACACATATCAACGTTCAGGCATATGAAGTGTAAAGCCTACGTGGATGCACTTCGTGACGCACGCCTAACACGTGTGTAGCTCATCGGAAATTTGGTCACACTACCTCCATCGCGCTATATACCTCGTTGACTGGTAGGATGCCAGCACCTGGTGGATTCTGATTCGCCGTGGTTTTTAAAGGCGATTTGTCTGCGGTCGCTGCCAGGCACCCGGTAGTGAAGAGTAAGTTCCAATATATTCTACTGCGCCTCGACGTTCAGGGATGCCTGGGCAGATCTTTTGCATGCAAATGACGAGTGCCAAGGTCAGCAGAGCAAGGGAACCAAGCGCCAAACGGTGGGTCGGGTGGACGGTTCCACTGCAGAAAGCTGCATGACGGGACTTGCACTGCTGTCGTCGCGCTGTGGTGTCTCCGTCGACACGCCAATGGTGGGCCAAAAACCGGGTTCCACGTGATGCGTACTGCAATAATACCCCGAAGTGCCAGAGTCAACTCGTTACCCTTCGTCACGAATTCATGGCAGATGCACTTCACATAGAAAGGCATGTCAGGAAACGCGCTCGTCGACGCTCCAGTAGAGCATGAAATCGCAATATTTGCAAGTGGGCTAGTGGTACTTAAAAGTGCCCGCGAGTAGACTGTGTCAATTACTGCAATTGGCTTCTAGGCCAGTTGCACGGTTCATTCGTATTTTTTCTGCGCCGCAAGTGTCCACTTGAAACTAATAATTACATTTGCAATTGAAGCGCGCGTAAGTCAGTTGTGGGCGCCCTGCATGTTGTTTCCAACGCGAGAGCATCCGTTGGTCCAGTGCGACAGACATCTCCGCCGGCTTTGCACTCAAGTCTGCTTAAGTCTGTCACAGTGTGTCCTGTGGAAGCCCTACTCAAGGTATAGCAACCTTCAAAACAGCTGGTCACTCGGCTCACCTACTCCACAATCTGCTAGAGTGTTGGAAGAACCCAACACCTCCAGACATTCGTCACATCTTTCAGCAGTTTGTTGAAGCATATATTTACGCAAACGTTTTGTATAAATGAAAGGTTCCACAGATGCCTGCGCTCTGATGGAAACATGATTAGCTTGCCGTCGCCAGAGCTGGTATACGCAACGATATACGCACAACTACTAAAGTAACAACAAACACTACGACCTCGTGCGCTTTGGGCTCCGCTGGATAGCTGAAGGCAGTAGTACCCGTCAAAGCCCTCGCGACTGCCACAAGTCAGGAATGATGATGAGATTGCCACCGGGCTTATCACCCTGGGGGGGTTCCCTTTCACCTGCAGAAAGCCCGATTTTGCTGCCCTGTGTAGTTGCGCGATTACATACTCGCCAACTGAAATGAAGTAAAAAGCGCGAGGAAGATGTACGCATGGCCGCCCTTTCATAAAACTATTTGGAATGTCCAGCCTCCTGGAACTACGGTTAATTTTGTGAAATATTGGCACAAATGCCCCTCTTGACTGATCCAGCTTGTCACGACAAGTCGAGCTTTGACATTGTGCTGCAACTGTTCCTAAACTGTTTCTGGCGAGTTAATGATCGAATGCATTGCTCAAGAGCGCACAACTTCTGCTGAAGCTCCAGCTGAACCTGGAGCAGCTGTCGTCCTGTTGCCGAACCCACGACGCGGCTGCATGCTTCAGCGAATTCCTTAACTGCAAGAACGGACGCAGTCCCTAAAGTGCGCCTGTGGGTTGACGCATCTGGATGTTAAAGCAAAAACCGTGCGAGCCAATTCTCTACACAAGGGACAAACAGGGAAGACGTTGCTAGATCCACAGCGACGTACCAGTGACGAATTGTATGCCGCGTTGATGGAACATGCTGAGGACGTCAAACGCCTGGTAGAAAGGTATATGCGCCGCCTGCATGGCCAGACCATAAAACGATATTGTGTTTCACTGCATGTCATCAGTAGGGTGGCCTAGTTCCTGTGTGTACGCGGTTTATGCAAAGGTCAGAAAAATGTGCTATTGGATGCTGTTGCCTTCCGACCTGCAGTGCTTCTTGGACAACTGGATCACGAAGAATATCCATGGGCTGGTGACCGCCAATGCGCAAGTATCTAACGCATGTGCGGACGTTGATCCCATCTAATTGAAGTGTGTCCGGCACGTGCGTTCTAATCTGAATGGGTTCAGAGTCCGCTGCGCTTTCTGTCGACGGGCGAGCTGTACTGTCTTCGCTGGCAACTCCCGTTAGCTTCCTCTCGAAATGAGCGCCTGCTGGGCACATCGGTGCCCTGGGGCTTTGAGAGGCGGAGGCCCCCGCCTGTGTGACCATGCTACTGTTGGCAACCGCGTGCCGCCAAGTTGTTGCCGTTTCGCCTTCTCTTAGGAGAGTCGGTATAGTGCTATCTTGCCCCGAATCTCCTCCAGCCCACCCACTAGCAGTGTGCTCAAAATTCGTGGTGGTTAACGCGCTGCCTTCAGACGAAAACGTCGAGACTGCAGGCCTCATGCAAACGAGGAATGAAGTCTTTTCAAAAGCTGATAACAACACTTTCTCATTGTGAACATCTTTTTCCAAGTCATCCTTGTAGTTTGCCTCCTTCAGGAGTCGGTTGGACATGTCTACATATGCGTCTAGGATAATGCCTACAGTTGCAAGGAAAACAGAGAAGGCCCACGCCGCCAATGGTCTTAATCTCCCCCTATTAAGATCGTGAGCTCTGACAACTACAGCAGAGTCAGTATAATCGTATCAAAGTGCAATGTAACAGGCAACAAACGAGAGTTTCGGTAACCTACCTGTGACGATGTTCAAAAGAGTCAACGTTGTGAAGCAAATATACGCCACGAAGAATATCCGACTAAAGGGGTGCTTCTCTGCAGTCGCTGTGGCCACATTGTTCCACCCTGCAACCACCCAACGCATCAGAGCATTTCTACGGATGATCAGAGCACACTGGCAAACAGCAATTGGTTTGACTAGAGACCCCCTGCCTGGTCCAAGCGCCAGCAAAAACATAACCCTTCCTAGAGCTCCCGGCTCGCCTTCCAGCGTGAGCACAGTGAAGAGAGTAAACATGGAGAGCACCAGATTTCCCCACAAAAGCCGCATTTCCGCGTCATCTTCATCCTGAAGTAAGACAAACGCAGAGACAATGGGAAATACATGCGTTCATCTGGTTCCTCCAGATACTTCCTGTATCGCCTTCAGCGCACGACTCGCCATCGTTGAGCCTCTCCCTCCCGTGATTTCAGCGGTTTTGGTTCACTGCTTAGTCTACTCATGCAAACATGCGCTGCAGCTCCTGGAAAGGCTACTGTTGTTAGAAATACTGACGCACGTAGTAGGCCCAGGTGCAGAAGACTGCGCAGGTGTAGATGACGACCAAAACAAACAAAGCCGTCCACAGCAGGGAACGGAGGCTGTGAAGGATGCCTGAAGCGATCGTCAAGGCAACAAACTGCAAAAAGGCATGTAGAGCCTTTGCAAGCAGGTGTGTCTCATGTGAACAAAAGGACGTTCCTGGGTAAGCAAATAACCCACTTCTCGTCAAGAAGAAGAGCTCTCTACAAGAGAATGACAGACGATAAATACGCGCAAGCTGCACGGTGTCCAGAGCCTGCAGTTCACAGTAGCGAATTGCAGCGCGGCCAGTCCAGTCTGTGCCCCCACATGTTTGCGCCACACTCTGGAGCACGCACTCGCGAAGACAGTAGTATGCTCCGAATGCAAATGCCCTTATCTGTGCATATCTGCTGGGCGAAGTATCCACAAAACGCACCACGAGTGCAATTTGCACATCTCCGAGAATGAAATCGTTCGCAATGCCCGTTCTCCATTCCAGCGAATCCGGGTCGAACACGCGGGTCCCTAGGCCGCCGACGTTCAAAAGGATGCAGGTACGGAAGAAGATAGCAGAGAGTCCCACCAGCTGCAAGAAGGTGTCAAACAGACACTGCCGGTCTCGGAAAAAACGCCTCAACCCCATAGCGCGGGCACGTAGAGCAGCTTCACAGGAAAAGAAACCCCAGATCAGGATGTCAGCGCAAAAGAAGCAGATGAAAGCTGTCTGTGGGCATATGCAAAAGCGCATAAAAGCACATTTCAGGGGTTGGCAATGTTCAAACAGTGAGTTTACCACCACGGTGAAGGACTACCCTAAACCCCAAACCCTAAACCCTATAAAATAGCCCGCACGCCCGGTCTACAATCATTCCAAGGCGCGCACCTTCATGGCGGGTGGAAAATACGTGCTGACCCCATACTTGAGCGCCGCTAGCACCACCATGAATGTCACCAAGAGTCGAAAGGATGATAAGGCGATGCGGGAATCCTGAACAACAGATCCATACAAAAGTCCAACGCCGCAAATGGCTTGTTGCCGGTGTACCTGCACTGACGCGCTTCAGCCAGGAGCTCCTGCGTACGGCCTTCAACGATAGGCGCTTAGACAAACAAGAGCAGAGGTCGGCACCGCTTCCTTGAGCTCAGTGGAAGCACGCGCAGTAACGATTGGCAGGCCCCTACCCCTTCACCTTCCCCGCAATAACTTACTGGCGAATTGATCCTGAAGAGGCGCCGGAATTCTCTTTCCACCCCTTCATCCTTCACCGACTCGACAAGCCAAAACGACGTGGGGTGCCCCCATTGCAAGCTTCCAGCCACGAACTCCCCCTGCTTCGGCTGCTGCTGCTGCTTCAGAAGATGATAAGGTCCCGACCCTCTGGAGCCCCCAATAGGCAGCATCCACGCACAGTCTTCACAACCCAGTTGCTTCCGCTGGGTACTAGAGGTGCCAAGAGGGACGCTGGCTCCTGGGCCCGCCGATGCTTCACCCTGAGGAGCCTCTGAACATGTTGCCATGCGAAGCTGGCCCCACGAGGGGGCCGGGTTTTGCAAAAAAGTAAACCCGATGGGAGCCCTCACCTTCAGAGTCCCACAAGCCGTACACCGAACCCCGGTGCGTGCTTCATCTCCTTCACGCTGTGAATCGCCGGCAGCGGCGTCACTCGACTGTTGCGGATGCTGCTCGTTTTGCTGCTGCTGCTGAGGGCGTCGGCCTGACGAGGCGTGCTTTCGCGTGGCCGGTTTGTTGGGTGTCCGGCCGTGGACCCCAACGCTACAGAATAGGGGACGATCTCGAGCTAGTCTAAGCTGGGATGGCACGCCTCCGTTGTTGCCGCTACTGCGGGAATCTTTGCCGCCGCAGTCAGCTCGATGGGAAGCTCTGAGAGTTAAATCCCTGTTCTCGGGTATTGTTTCCCCTTCCAGGGGAGGGTTATCGTCGCGGTCCTGGCTACCGCAGCAGCAGTCACCAGATAACTTCCTTTGCCTAAATGTTTCCCCTTCCTCCTGTGGATGATGCTCCAACAGTAAGTTGACCCCCTCAGACGGTCCAGGTGTAGGCGCCGCTAGGGGCAGCTGCCTGGGGCCTCCCATGTTTACGGTTGAAAGGCCCCCGTCTCCCCTGGGATCCTCCCCTTGGTGGCTCCAAGGAGTCCCTGCGTCATCAAGTGGGGATGGATCCCCTACGTCCTGAGCCATCTTGTGAAGCAGCAGAGGCAGCGGGCGTGGGATCGAGTTGCTTACGTGGATCCCGCTCGGGCTGCTGGGCGCCCCTGCAGCTGCTTCTTTGAAAGCACTCCATGCGATGGCAGAACGCGGGTCAAAGGTTTATTGGAAGCGAAGCCCACCGGGCACAGGACTTCAAAGAGACAGATCCTAAGCCAACACCCAACAACGCCAGTCACACCGGGGTGCGTACGGTTTACAGTGGCTCCCCCACTGCCCGCCAGAATGAATGCGCCGCGAAATACGATATGGAAAAAAGCAATAATAAAAATAAATTATTTTCAACTGCAGGCTGGGGGCGCCTGTCAGCGCCGAGCGCACGCCCCTCCAAGCAGTTGAGCGCCTAGCGTGCGCCCCTCCAAGAAGATGCTGGTTAGTACTGGGGTTGAGGCGGAAACAACTGCTGTCCCGTCACAGTCTTAATATACTCCAGCACAGCGAATAATAGCTCCTGTCGTACGGTTATATGCTGTTTGTTCTCTCTCAAAGTTTCTTCTAGGGGCTGCGGGCTTGCTGGCTGCAGCAGCTTGATGTGAGCAGCCGTAGTGCCCGGCACTACAGGAGGCCTGGAATTCTGAGAAAAAGTCGCGAACAATAATGTAAAAATAAGTTAAGGTAGAAACGAGTTCGATTACCTAAGTTTATAGCATCTGGAGTATGCTTTGAACTAACAAGACACCGGTGGCACTTTTTGGGGCTGGATAAGCCCGTGTGCATACTGGAGTAGACTACCCCCGTTGCTGATTAAAGTATCTGTCCGCATTTGTGCTTGAATTCTTGAGCAGCTTCTAGTGGGTTCTAATGCCGCAATTCTGTTTCCAGCACGCCACCACGATATGCCCTGCTGCGTTGCCGCGAAAACTCAGCATCACTTGCTCCGTAGTCTTTTACACAATCTGCCACCAACGGAGCACGGGGCGCTTGGTATGCGAAACCCCCATATACATTAATAATTGTGTTTTCTATGGAGTAACCACCGAGTCAAACGTGCTGGATCGATCTTGCGGTAAAATTAGCTACTTCGATGGGCTAGGAAACGATAGTTGTAACATGAGTTAGCGCAGAGTTAGCTCAGGAGCCTATCGACGGCCTTGGCATGCTGCGCGTAGGCGCC